GTTACAAAGATAAAAGGTAAAACTAAAAAATACTGAATTTTTAAAAAGATAATATTTTTTTATTATAGTTAATACTTTGAAAACCAAATGTAACTAATATAAATACTTCTAGCTGTACAAAACAATCAAAATGCTTACACTAGTTACAGTACTATTTTTGTATGTACCCTAATACATGTGTATATAATAAACTTTATTATTAATTAATTATTATTTACAAGAAAACAGTGTTACTACCTGCAACAAGGCGGATGTGAAACATATTCTAAAAACCAGTTTTAAAACACAGTCTAAACATATACCCCTCATATTGGCCTGCAAAATTTCATTTATGTGGCTTCAAATTCGTTTGCGAGACAAACTTTTCCCCCTATATTTCATCAAGTTAAGAAGCATGAAGCAAAGGCCATAACTCCATACAAAATAGTTCTTATAACCATCTTCTGGAGTTTGTACCTTAGATAAGCACGGAAAGTTTCATTTATTAACGTCAGTAGTGTCCAAGAGAACCTGGCAGTGTATGTACCAAGTTCAAAAACAAGGGTCATAACCCTGTGAAAAATATGTTGTCAACACCAACGTTTTGGATTTCTTTGTTCCTTTGCAATTCAGCACTTTTGTTTGCAGATTCTCTATCTACACCTCTGTTTTTCAGTACGCGTTTTCCTTATGCCATTTCTAAGCCTTGCTCCTGGAACTCGAAGCCATTCTTTTACACAGGTCACCATGTACTTGCCACTTGCTTGTGAGAGTTCAGCTGCAGGCTTCCTCCTCAGCTTCTGTTTACAAATGATAGCAAAAAATGTCAGTGTGCATATAAGTCATTGCATGCACTCTCACAATTACAAGTAATGGACTTCACAAGTGTGTCAAAACAAGTTATTGATAACATAATGGAATAATAGAATAAGTAATACCCTGTTCACATGCACCACCTTACATATGTGTGTATATATTATTTTGAGTCTTGAGACCTGTTAATAAATACAGGGTTCACTCAAGGAATTTTCTGCCATGGGGCCTTTATGTGACAATTTCATATATTCCCTAGGTACACCCGCACTTGCCCATACAGCACAATGTTAAAATGCCCCGTTGTATTTGAAAATGTAGGCCTTTTTTCCAAATTTAGGGGCTGAAAGCAGAAGGCTCCACCCTAGAATTATCGGAATCCCAGTAAGTAAATTGATGAGTTAATAATATGTATAAATAAGTAAATTGAATTATGTGTAATTATATACGCAAATAACATAAAAACTCCCAATATTGTATGGTAGGTCCCTAATCTGTTTCTTATGTCAATTAAAGAAATATTTTATAATTGACATATCACAATATTAATTTAGCCCTATAACATCCCCAATAACCACATAACCCCCCTCCTCCAATCTTGCTGGAGAACAGTTTTAGGTGTGCAATCTCTCTTGTATGTCCATCAAAAGTAAGTCAGCATGAAATTTCATTTGGAAGATTACCATAGTAAGTGTCAGGGGCCCCTTAATAGAGCAAACATGATATTAAATATATGCTTATAAATATTTCAAGCATAAACATGTATCAGTTGGTTTGGTTTGTTGTTTAAGGCAGCACTCAGCAATATTCCAGCTATATGACGGCGGTCTGTAAATAATCGAGTCTGGACAAGACAATCCAGTGATTAACATCATGAGCATCAATCCATGCAATTGGGATCGATGACATGCATCAACCAAGTCAGAGAGCCTCACCTCCCGATCCCATTAGTCGCCTCATACCACAAGCATAGTTGCCTTTTACGGCAAGCATGGGTTGCTGAAGATATCTTCTACCCCGGATCTTCTATATGAATCAACTTTGCAGTAAATTTCCCATACTTGATACATCTAAAGAAATTTAATCCACTCACCAGTGCTCTCTCAGTTGTTCGATTTTGGAAAAGCTGTTAAGAGTTCATTCAGCTCATCCATGTCTGCCAATAGGCAATGGCTGAACATCTGGTTTTCTTAAATAGAAATATAAGAATATTAAATATGCAGTTTGTGTAGCAGCAGTGAGCACTTAGCTATTATGGTGATGATGTCAAGAGGCTGAGATGAATATTGCTCAAAACATAAAAGTAACATTTAAATAAAGCTTTGGCCATACATAGATATCAGGTCGTTTCCTTAATTCATACATCGTATCTCGTATATTTGCACTTGTACATACAGTCCTTGTCTGGAGCCATGAAGCAGAAATAATTTTCCAGGGAAAGTAGTTTCACTGTAATAGCCATAGCCCCATCCATTGAGAAGCAGTGAGAAAATCCCCATATTGACATAATATTGAACAGATCCTGTGAAGTCTGGTTACCACAAAACAGATTTCATTTATTATATGATACCAAAATATATGTAGATTACATCATGGTAAACCAAAACTGCAAATAAACGTGTGTCATTAAAAGATCAGATACAAAGGTATGTACATATTACAAACACTTGTATGCAAAAAATAGCAGAAAAATATTGGGGACAAGTAATTTTATGCACAGTTTCAGGAAAAGGAATAATGATATGAAATAATATATCTTTAGTTAGAATAAATCAAATTTGAAACAAGGCTCTGGATGTTTTTTCTACAATGGATAATGTCCTGAAAAATCTGTACTGAAGTATCTTCATCAAAGTTTTACAATTAATTTGAATTTTGATTAAATAAATGACATTCTAAATTGTCTTGGATGGATTATATATTTAGCATCATACCTTTAAATAGTACATTTTAAATTTTTTTTAATTCAGTATTTCATCACAAATGTACATCATTCATTACTTAACTAGATAAGACAACCATACCACCCCCCACCCCTGCCCCCACCACCACCCCCTAAAAATCCATTCTGAAATAGCCATATCTCAAAACCTTATTTGATCGATACAGATACCATATATCGGTATAGGATTTCTGATCGCTATATAGGCCTAGGTCTATGTAAGGTATCCAAGTAGATCTTGATAAGATTGCCCACACCTGTAATACGCAGTGATCGTTTACAAAAAGAGCTGTCCTTTCATTTCGCCCATTATCCAGAAAATGTTCAAAATTCGCAAGTAACTGTGACATTAAAAAACATCAATTTAATTTTTTTTATTTCAACTTTTTGGTGATCGAAAACTGAACTCGGCAGTGAGCTCCGTTCATCGATTAGAAGGAACATTAGCTGGATCGCATGACATGCACACGCAATGCTGAAAGTTTCCGAAAGCCTCGTTATGAATTTCATGTTCACTGCTTTTTGCGCTGACAGTAATCACAAAGTTGACTTGTAATTTCGAGTTTGTAATCAATTTCCTAACCTCATCCATCCCCACACTTACGCCTGTGACAATGACAAATAAAGCAATGTTCATTCAAAAATACTAATGTAAGTAATTGTTTGGCTATTCATTTGCTTGCCGCTGTAATACTCTCACCCCGAGATTGCGACTCGTTGGTTGAACATCGCTGAATCTGCATGGAAGTAAAACATATCTTGTCATGTTTTGTATTTGCCCTCGTCCCCGCGTTTTGCTAGAAATATGTATATGGTGTTTAAAAAATATAAATAGAGAATCTAGCGAGGATGCAGTGTCACGACATATTCCACGGATTTTGTCACTGACGTAGAATTGACAGGAATGTGTTTCTCAAACTTCCAAAACACATAGGCCTAGATTTCTCTACTCACGTTGACACTTATGAATGAACACTGTTTCTCGTTTCAATTTTAAGGTTTGAAAATGGAATAAACACCTCGTAAATACAGTAATGAAGTAAACACTTACCACAAAATAGGTTTTCCCTCAGCCCTCCACGCATCATCCTTTCGTCGTCTGCTTGAAAAGACGCGCGTGAGTAACAGCGCCCTCAATAACAAGAGTAGCTTCCCTTGAAACATGTTGTGAAAACGTTGGACCAACGTAACATAACCGCTCGAGATATTCCAAACTTTTGCCAACATCATGTAATTTGCTGAATGAATTGTAAGATGTGACGAATACCGTCTGTATCTTCTCTGTCTGTTGTATATGTGCAGCCAAAATGGTCAGTGAATTTGCTTGATCTATTTAATTTAAAAATTAAAAATAAAGTTTATATTTTGAGTTCGAAAAGAATTATTGTATTATTCGTAAATATACTTGATCTATTATTTGTCACATTGTAATCGACAAATGTGTTTTTTTTTCTTTTATGTTATCATAACAAGATCAAACCATACATCAGGTTCAATAGTGTCAGTGCCAAGCACCAGCATTGGCCTGACAGCGGACCGGTGCAGTTTACTTAAAAGTAGAAGTTTCGAGAATATAATTGAAATAACGAGAATAAAGTCGAAATTACGAAAATATAATCAAAGTGATGAGAATATCAAAAAATCAAATTTTCCCAATTGAGTAGTTCGATGCTCTTAAATCACTGGATTGTCTGGTTATGTACAGACCGCCGTCATATGTCTGGGAATTTGCTGATTGTGACGTTAAACAACAAACAAACATAGATGGTGTTTTGAAACCATGCCAAGGATTAGCACGAGTCAACCGAGCTTATAGCTGTAATAGTCTGGTGATGATTCAGGGTTAGAATTGGTCTTGGCGGCATTCCTTGTACATTTGCCGCCAATGCAGCTCGACGAACCTCGGCTAAGTGTGAAGTCACAGAGTGCAGGGAGATGTTAACAAACAGTTTCTTGTTTGTTTCACGATTGGTTACAAACTCTTGACACATTATTAAGACAGACTAATTATATATTACGAGATGCAGTGTTCACCTTATAATCACACATCATCTCTATTTACACTCAGTTAACAATTTTCTCACCTGATCACGCGGAGTTCCAAACAAAACAGATGACAAAATATCTCAAAATATTTTCAACAAGTTTTATTTCTATTCAAACACTACAAACATTCTCACCTAATCCGGGAATATATAACAAGACGACGTGAACGGCACACCACTTGACTTTCTCCAACACAGTCTACACAAACATAACACTGACGTCACTGAGCGCCGCGGGACATAAGCAGATTCTCCACTCGCCGATGAATCAAGTATCTCGCCCAGGAGACCGCGGTCCGTCCCCCCTTGGTCCTGGCGTTGATGTCCACAACGTTCAGTGACAGCACATACTTCACCGTCTCCACATCACTACCCATACATGCGAGGTGAAGGATGTTGTCATCGTTAAAGGTCAACACAGACACATCAGCTCCTTTCCTCACCAGGAGCTCCACCACTTCTTTGTGTCCCTTCCGTGCTGCCCACAGCACTGGTGTCCACCCATACAAGTCTTTACCGTTGACGTCAGCCCGTCCTGCTGCCAGGATGCGCTTCACAGCCGCCACGTTTCCCCATTTGCTGGCATCACGGAGGTCGCGGTCTGCTTGGGGGTCTGTACTTGCAGGAGTCGGTGTCGCTGAAACACAAAGTAAACTATGTACACATGTCAGACATCTAGATCTTACAGCACTATTGTTCACAACTTACTGTGAGGATATAAAACACATGATGTATTTTCTGAACATGCAACACATGCATGGCTGACACTAAGACGGTGATTGTCGAGAGAATGACTAGAGCTGGTGAGGATTTACACATGAGGTATTTACATCACCAGAATGTTTCTGTTATATCTTACAGTTCTAACACAGTTGTGTGTATGCCTGGGTAGTGGTTTGTCCACTACAATATATGTGACATTGTCTCTACCCACCTCGTGTGTCAGGTTTTTCTGTTCTAAAACAGTTGTGTGTATGCCTGGGTAGTGGTTTGTCCACTACAAAATATGTGACATTGTCTCCACCCACCTCGTGTGTCAGGTCTTTCTGTTCTGACACAGTTGTGTGTATGTCTGGGTAGTGGTTTGTCCACTACAAAATATGTGACATTGTCTCCACCCACCTCGTGTGTCAAGTCTTTCAGTTCTAACACAGTTGTGTGTATGCCTGGGTAGTGGTTTGTCCCCTATAAAATATGTGACATTGTCTCCACCCACCTCGTGTGTCAGGTCTTTCAGTTCTAAAACAGTTGTGTGTATGCCTGGGTAGTAGTTTGTCCACTACAAAATATGTGACATTGTCTCCACCCACCTCGTGTGTCAAGTCTTTCAGTTCTAACACAGTTGTGTGTATGTCTGGGTAGTGGTTTGTCCACCACAATACACGTGACATTGTCTCCACCCACCTCGTGTGTCAAGTCTTTCAGTTCTAACACAGTTGTGTGTATGTCTGGGTAGTAGTTTGCCCACTACAATACATGTGACATTGTCTCCACCCACCTCGTGTGTCAGGTCTTACAGTTCTAACACAGTTGTGTGTATGTCTGGGTAGTGGTTTGCCAACTACAATACACGTGACATTGTCTCCACCCACCTCGTGTGTCAGGTCTTACAGTTCTAACACAGTTGTGTGTATGTCTGGGTAGTGGTTTGCCCACTACAATACACGTGACATTGTCTCCACCCACCTCGTGTGTCAGGTCTTACAGTTCTAACACAGTTGTGTGTATGTCTGGGTAGTGGTTTGTCCACCACAATACACGTGACATTGTCTCCACCCACCTCGTGTGTCAGGTCTTTCAGTTCTAACACAGTTGTGTGTATGTCTGGGTAGTAGTTTGCCCACTACAATACACGTGACATTGTCTCCACCCACCTCGTGTGTCAAGTCTTTCAGTTCTAACACAGTTGTGTGTATGTCTGGAGGGTGGTTTGCCCACTACAATACACGTGACATTGTCTCCACCCATCTCGTGTGTCAAGTCTTTCAGTTCTAACACAGTTGTGTGTATGTCTGGAGGGTGGTTTGCCCACTACAATACACGTGACATTGTCTCCACCCACCTCGTGTGTCAAGTCTTTCAGTTCTAACACAGTTGTGTGTATGTCTGGAGGGTGGTTTGCCCACTACAATACACGTGACATTGTCTCCACCCATCTCGTGTGTCAAGTCTTTCAGTTCTAACACAGTTGTGTGTATGTCTGGAGGGTGGTTTGCCCACTACAATACACGTGACATTGTCTCCACCCACCTCGTGTGTCAGGTTCTAGAGGGATCCGAGACTTCCGTGTTTCCTCCTCTCTGCTCGTGGCTGTGGAGACAAACAGGGTGGTTAGACTTGACTGAAACTCTACTAATGTGTTGACACATTCCCGAATATATATACATTCAACCACTGTGTGGTAAATTTAAGAAATATGTTCCAGACGAACGGATATTTTCTTATAACGACAGAGCTTGCTGATGCTTCTGGTGACTTGACAAACTGTCCAATGTGCACACTGACACTATCACCAGTGGTCCACCGTATTCTCCCACGTACCGCGTAGCTCAGACTCCGGTGTCACCCCAGGGTTCAGTGCCTCCATCTTGGTCGGGTCACTGGAGGCTGCAACACTACTAATATACTGAACCGCAAAATAAGATCACCATGGATAGATATATGACGTTTTACACTTCATGATCAGTACCTACTACACTAGGCTTTCTGTGTAGATAGTACTTGTTGGTCTGATAGAGTACTGTCAACTTAAACACTGATTGAGTTACCATTAAGAGCAACGTTTCGATGTAGGTTCTTAGACCGTTATCAAGCAAGTGATATACAGAGTCTGGCTGGCAAGTATATACACATGTTGAAGGCAATGTTTATACAGTAGAGTAGATGTTGTTATATTGGCGGATTTCAAACTAATAGTGTAAACTACCAGCAACTTACAACTTTTCAAACTGTAGATGAAAAGCACAGAGCAAGGGCCATAACTCTTCTTGAGTCTTGATACCCATGCAAACTTACATTCAGCTAACTTAAGTAGTTTCGATTTCACGCAGTATGTACCAACGGATCAAGGGATATTACTCTTTAAAAAAATAATTTACGACACCAATATTTCGAACTCATTTGAGGTCAATGCAAGAAACATCAGTGTGTAAAATATCCTTTCCCTTACTTTAAATTGTTTGGGGGAAATTTTGTTCCCTTTGAGAAGCGGGCTGACTTTGTTGCGGGTGATGATAATATGTTTTCATTGAATCACACCAGTGACAGGAGTCTGATTAACTACAGCTTGATTTGATGGGTTCTTTCTGCGTAGTATTCACGAAGTAAAGAATCAGGAAAAGAAACGTGAGGCTGTTCTGTAATCCATGTAATCAATGTAGTAATATAGTCCAAAAGAAACAGACAAGGTCTTATCTCAGATAGCGTGTTTTGATTGATGTTCAGTGGTTTGGAGCCTCCACTCCAGCTCTAATGTGACTGAAGTGATAGAAACAGGATTAAATGAAACATTGTACACCACTTTGCGTGAGACACCACATACCTTGCACACCGACGGCTTTTCCATATCCACTCTCCAGACATTGGGAGGTCCGATTGCAGACCTTGGATGCTGAGGGTTTAGTCAGGACCTTCAGACAGCAATAAAAAGTCCCTTTTCAGACAAAGTGTATATCTGTGATTTTTATCAATATGAAGTGATGTGGTCGATATAGCATTCCAAACTTTGTATGTGAGATCTCGAGTAATGTAGGGCTTGTGTCATTATACCAAAGATGCAACGTAATAAAGCTGGAAACATCAGTCAGTTATTCATGATAAACTTGTCAACATCATGTATTGACTATGAAATTGGGAATATAATAAAAGCGACAAAATCTTCTCCATAATCATAAGAAGAGGCCACTGTACCGTTCCGACTATGTCAGAAACAGTATTCGGCCAGTGAAAATTTAAGTAATAGAATACAATTTGTTATTACTTATAATAGTTTACATTGCTAGAATTACCATGAAAGCATGTTGTCAAGCAGGGTGCGGGTAAGTGAAAGTTGATAATGCTTTCAGTTTGCCTAACGATGGGCCTTTGTAAATCATTCACTCAATTCACTGGCTGTTACTGTTACTTGCTGATTGCCGGATTACTTTGGTGATAAATAGAATATCAGCCTTGTGTTCTTGATATCAAAAACACTCTTAAAAAAAGACACACATAGTTAAAAGATAAGAATATTTATTAAGCTGATGTAAACGTATCAACACAAAATATGCGTGAACACAATCAAATGAAATTTGACACAGTGATCGACAAAAGCATGGTCCTCATTGTCAGCATTAATTCTTTTCAGTCATTGCACAAGGGGGCGTCATGGTCAGTACCTGGTCACACCACCTCTTGCAGCCGTCACTGCTGGACACATGCTTGGCACAGATTCCACAAGTCGTCTGATTTTTTCGAGGGGAATTCTTCGCCATTCCTCCTGTAAGGCATTGGCAAGTTGTGCCAGTGTGTGGGGAGGCTGGTGAAATATTCAATCGGGTTGAGATCAGGCGATTTGGACGGCCATTGAAGGACATTGATGTTCTCATTAAAAAGTAAATTATCTGTTGCACGTGCTGTGTGGGGTCGAGCGTTATCATATTGGAACTGCTCCCTCTGGCGGTCCAAAGTTGGGAGGAGGTGAGGACGCAGAATTTGGTCTAAGTATCGGTTTGCTGTAAGATTGCCCTGGACAACCTCTAACTGTGATCTACCCGTGTAGGATATGGCTCCCCATACCATGACACTCCCTCCACCAAATCGGTCTACCTGTTTGAGCGCAGTTCGGCACAAAACGTTCATGTCGACGTCGGTATACACGTTGTCTTCCATCCCGTCGTTGAAGAAGAAAACGTGACTCATCGCTGAACCAAACGCGTCACCAGTTCCTGAGATCCCAAGCCTGTACTCTGTTGCATCACCGGACACGTCGTTGACGGTGTAGACGTCGCAAGACAGGTCCATCTTTTGGTCGTCTCGCTTGATGTCCCACTTCCCTCAGACGATTTCTGATGGTCGGAAATTCTTTGCATACCAGGCACTTGTCCTGCAGTGTCCGGTGCTGTAGCAAATCGTTTCCGAAGGTGATGCAACCAGATGTACCGATCCTGAGCAAGGGGGGTCACTCTTGGTCTTCCACTTCTGGGATGATCTTGAGTCGAATTAGTGCAGGTATATCGATCCCATAGTCGAGATATGGTGCTTTGGTGAATGTTAAAGTGTCTTGAAACGGCAGACTGGGACTTCCAAACGTCCAATGCCGATATTTCCTGCATAATTGTCTTCCTTAATTATTGGCGAACTGAAAGGCCATAGTCGAACAACACGTTGTTGTTTGATTGTTTGAGGGATATTTTGATACTAAATATTAATTATTTTCAATTAAGCTATTAAAAAGGTGATGCAATTTTTCAGAGCACTTTCTTTTGCAGAATCTGTCTGTTGAGTAGCTGTCCTCGGAAGACAGCAGGCTTCTGCCAATCATAATCCCTTGAAAAAGAGCCTCAACCTTATATAAGCTTGCGTATTCAGCACTATCATAAATGGCATATAGTTTTGACACGTTTGTAATTCTCATCAATATTTTGCTCAAGGACAAATTTTACTGAAAACATTTTCATTTCTTGAAGGCTTTGGTTTCGCCCAAAGTCACTTGATTCAATAAATTGGAACTGAGTGATATTCAGTGTGGATCCTGTGATCCTAGCTAAGATCAACACACCGTCTAAAATCTACACACAATTGACATAAACATAACTTACATGGGGATGATTTTGAGGACGGACACTGAATCCGCCCGTCCCAATGTTCTTTGATTTACGACAGGATGCAAAAATGAAGCTCTCTTGGCAGTACAGGTGGCAATACTTCATATCAATAGTTCCGAAAGTGGTAGATCTGTCCTTCATTTTCTCCGTCATGTGAAGTATGCATTCCTTTGTGCTGCATGTGGAAAATACACACATGATGTAAACAGTTACTGTTAAGGCCATCTGCAGACTGTTACTTGAACACAGCGGCATCATCGTCAGCTGTTGACAGAGGAGTGCTGGTTACACAAACTGGTAGGAGGACTACACGCTAGCTTGCAACACAACGGTTAACCACGAGGTAGACTGTAACACAGCTGCTAAGAGACCAGGTAGACTGATGCCTCTCCTGACGTCACGTGATGCATAATTAAAGCAGTTGTTTTCGCAACATTCACAAGCTGAAGGGATCAATAAAGCATACATGTTTAACAATTTGCTGACACTTTTAATAGACATGTAGATATAGTCATTGATTCAAACTATTGATGTAAAATATACCTGTCTGCACTACTTAAAGGAGGAGTTTGTGAGTAAGTGAGTGAGTGAGGAGGATGTTACGCCATTTTAGCAATATCCCAGTCACATATATTTGAGTATTTGTTTATTGAATTTGACATTCAATATATTTAGTTAGTTTACAACCATCTTCCAAACAGTCCCATCACCAACACCACCATCAACCTAACTGTCTCATCACCTATCCCACCATTATCCAACCAGTCCAATCATCTACACCTACACCATCCCAACATTCCCGTCACCTACATCACCATCAGCCCATTAATCCCATCGCCTACACCTACACCATCCCAACATTCCAATCACCTACATCAACCCAACAGTCCCATCGCCTACACCTACACCATCCCAACATTCCCGTCACCTACATCAACCCAACAGTCCCATCACCTACACCTACACTATCCCAACATTCCAATCACCTACATCAACCCAACAGTCCCATCGCCTACACCTACACCATCACAACATTCCCGTCACCTACATCAACCCAACAGTCCCATCACCTACACCTACACCATCCCAACATTCTAATCACCTACATCAACCCAACAGTCCCATCGCCTACACCTACACCATCCCAACATTCCCGTCACCTACATCACCATCAGCCCATTAATCCCATCGCCTACACCTACACCATCCCAACATTCCAATCACCTACATCAACCCAACAGTCCAATCGCCTACACCTACACCATCCCAACATTCCCGTCACCTACATCACCATCAGCCCATTAATCCCATCGCCTACACCTCCACCATCCCAACATTCCAATCACCTACATCAACCCAACAGTCCCAGCACCTACACCTACACCATCCCAACATTCCCGTCACCTACATCACCATCAGCCCATTAATCCCATCGCCTACACCAACAGCATCCCAACATTCCAATCACCTACATCAACCCAACAGTCCCATCACCTACACCTACACCATCCCAACATTCCAATGACCTACATCAACCCAACAGTCCCATCGCCTACACCTACACCATCCCAACATTCCCGTCACCTACATCACGATCAGCCCATTATTCCCTTCGCCTACACCTACATCAACCCAACAGTGCCATCGCCTACAGCTACACCATCCCAACATTCCCGTCACCTACATCAACCCAACAGTCCCATCACCTACACCTACACTATCCCAACATTCCAATCACCTACATCAACCCAACAGTCCCATCGCCTACACCTACACCATCACAACATTCCCGTCACCTACATCAACCCAACAGTCCCATCACCTACACCTACACCATCCCAACATTCCAATCACCTACATCAACCCAACAGTCCCATCGCCTACACCTACACCATCCCAACATTCCCGTCACCTACATCACCATCAGCCCATTAATCCCATCGCCTACACCTACACCATCCCAACATTCCAATCACCTACATCAACCCAACAGTCCAATCGCCTACACCTACACCATCCCAACATTCCCGTCACCTACATCACCATCAGCCCATTAATCCCATCGCCTACACCTCCACCATCCCAACATTCCAATCACCTACATCAACCCAACAGTCCCAGCACCTACACCTACACCATCCCAACATTCCCGTCACCTACATCACCATCAGCCCATTAATCCCATCGCCTACACCAACAGCATCCCAACATTCCAATCACCTACATCAACCCAACAGTCCCATCACCTACACCTACACCATCCCAACATTCCAATGACCTACATCAACCCAACAGTCCCATCGCCTACACCTACACCATCCCAACATTCCCGTCACCTACATCACGATCAGCCCATTATTCCCTTCGCCTACACCTACATCAACCCAACAGTGCCATCGCCTACAGCTACACCATCCCAACATTCCCGTCACCTACATCAACCCAACAGTCCCATCGCCTACACCTACACCATTCCAACATTCCAATCACCTACATCACCATCAGCCCATTAATCCCATCGACTACACCAACACCATCCCAACATTGCCGTCACCTACATCACCATCAGCCCATTAATCCCATCACCTACACCTACACCATCCCAAAATTCCCGTCACCTACAGCACCATCAGCCCATTAATCCCATCACCTACACCTACACCATCCCAACATTCCCGTCACCTACATCACCATCAGCCCATTAATCCCATCACCTACACCAACACCATCCCAACATTCCCGTCACCTACATCACCATCAGCCCATTAATCCCATCACCTACACCTACACCATCCCAACATTCCCGTCACCTACATCAACCCAACAGTCCCATCGCCTACACCTACACCATCCCAACATTCCCGTCACCTACATCACCATCAGCCCATTAATCCCATCACCTACATCTACACCATCCAAACATTCCCGTCACCTACATCACCATCATCCCATTAATCCCATCACCTACACCTACACCATCCCAACATTCCCGTCACCTACATCACCATCAGCCCATTAATCCCATCGACTACACCTACACCATCCCAACATTCCCGTCACCTACATCAACCCAACAGTCCCATCGCCTACACCTACACCATCCCAACATTCCCGTCACCTACATCACCATCATCCCATTAATCCCATCACCTACACCTACACCATCCCAACATTCCCGTCACCTACATCACCATCAGCCCATTAATCCCATCGACTACACCTACACCATCCCAACATTCCCGTCACCTACATCAACCCAACAGTCCCATCGCCTACACCTACACCATCCCAACATTCCCGTCACCTACATCACCATCATCCCATTAATCCCATCACCTACACCTACACCATCCCAACATTCCCGTCACCTACATCACCATCAGCCCATTAATCCCATCGACTACACCTACACCATCCCAACATTCCCGTCACCTACATCAACCCAACAGTCCCATCGCCTACACCTACACCATCCCAACATTCCCGTCACCTACATCACCATCAGCCCATTAATCCCATCGACTACACCTACACCATCCCAACATTCCCGTCACCTACATCACCATCATCCCATTAATCCCATCACCTACACCTACACCATCCCAACATTCCCGTCACCTACATCACCATCAACCCAACATCCCGATCACCTGCACCACCTCCCCACA